TAAGAAATGCTGTTTTAGCATGTTTGAGTATCTCATAACTGATGCCTAATGGTCTACATGCTTTGTTGTTATGAAGTTAATTAATAACTTCAAGAACTTCTATAGAGAAGAATTCTTTGAGTGCTAGTTGATATCATATTGAATTGATATTAGGTTTAGGTTGGTATTCTTGTTGCCACATTGTGTTAAATGATTGTGATTGGATGTTTTGAGGAGCTGTCCAATCATCAAAATATTGTTGAATATGCTGTTTGATAAATAATAGTTTGGTGATAATATTATTAGGTTCTTTAATATTGTCAAACTTAATAGGATTTTTGTGTTAGTTAAGTATACTATTAATTATTAATGCTAGACTATTTTGGAGTTTAGTGCACCTTTTAGCTATGTTGTTATTAATTTGTTCTTTTATATTTTTAATGTTTTCTAAGTTTCTAGCATGGTAGAATGTTTTTCATTCAGTGTTAGTTGCAGATATTTAGTTAGATAAAAGGTTAAGATTCTGAGACAGTTCTAATATATTAAAATAGTAAAGTGAGTTGAGTTAGTAAATGTTTAAGTTGTAAAGTACAGATACAGAAGTATAGTTTCAAATTGAAGCTTTGATTTGTTTAATAATATTGCCTAGTTTTTTAAATTCTGAATATAATTTCAATACCTTGAAAGAAAAAATATGTTGAAAGTTATGAACAGTATTGAAGAGCAGCTAAAATAATACTAGTTTGAATTTTATGCCAAGATGCTTCAAGTGATTCTGTAGTATTAGTTGTAAAAGAAGCATTGTTGTTTTTAAGATTAGATATAACTTGGTCAGAAAAGTTTTACCAAAGGTCTTAATTCATTTGTTTATAGACAAATATTCTATACTTAGTTTTGGTTGCTAATTATTATTTACTAGTAATTGCATAGAAAAATTCTCAGGATGATATACTGTAAGTATATTATAATCACTAAGTGTACTTTGATTGGCATCATCTGTGTCATAGAAAGTTAGATATCGAATAATAGAGTAGTTGGCCCAGATATAGTCAATTCAACTACTATATCTGCTACTATGCCAGGTAGAAGACAAAGATTGTATATGTTTTGCTAAGTCATATATATTGTTGTATTGAAGAAAATAAATTAGTTTTAGTTTGATAGATGATGATTGTGAGTTGTCAAAAACATTAAAGTTATCTATGACAATTGGTTGTATATTATTTATATTTGCTTCTTGAATTTATTGTATAATGTTGTTCTGAATAAGAAGTCTAAGTTGGAGATTATCATAAGGTAAATAGATTGATATAATGTGAAATTTGAAGTTATATTTGAAAAAAAGATCAATTGCAATAGCATATTCAAGAAGGTTAAGTGTTTTGTGAATATGTGGTTTAAGATGCTTTTGGATTATAATAGCTGCTCTGGCTTTACAACTATCAGTATATGACCAATAATAGGTAAAGTGTTGAGATCTTAAAAATTTATTATATGCATTGTTTTGTGAAATTTTGGTTTCTGTAATACTAGCAATATTAATATTATGAGCTAGACAGTAGTTCTTCCATGTTTGTTGTTTTAAGTTATTATTATATTTTTGTGTATTATGTATGCATATAGATAGGTAAAGTAGTTTATATAAGATAGGTATAGATATATTAGCTGTTAGTGCTTGAAAGGCAGATTGTATATAATTATTAAAGTGAGAGCTAAAAGATATAGCTATATAATTAGAATTGAAGATAGATGATAGATTAGTAGATGAGAGATCTAAAGATGAGTCATCAAGAAACATTTGGTCAAGTGAAGATAAGTAAGTATAGGATGAAGTGCTATTTGGTATTGTTAGCAAAGATAAATGCTTGTAAAGTTCATATTGAAAAGGTTGAATAAGATGGTATTTATGAAGAGTAGGATCTAAGAGGTCAGTGTATATATGTAGTTTAGTTTTGTTTTGGTTGATAGATATTTTAAAACTATGCTTGAAAGAATGTTTTCGAAGATAGAATAGGAATTCTTCAAAAGTTATATAGTAGTATATAGTAGGTAGATTATATAATAATAGAAATTTGTTATAGCATATATTTGTTCTTGCAGAGGGTGGAGTGTTGAAAACAGGAACTTGAGATATTGAGTTGTCTTTTACAAGATCGTTTACCATTTGAAGCTTAGCTTGCATAGCTGTGAAGGTTGCCATAGTCTGCTCTATACATTGGATCTGATTGTCATTAACTTGATCCTTTATGTAAATAGGCTTTACCACCTGCTCACTTATATCATCTTTCTTGTCAACTACTAGGGATGTATCTTTTGACAAGATAGCAGCTACATTAATGAGGTTTGTAAAAGACAGATTTATTGAAAAAAAGCCTTCTTAAGAAAGAAAGACTCTTCAATTAAAAAAGATATAGAGTATAATATTTGGAATTTTTCTTGTAATATTTTGTTTGTCTTTGGATAAGCTGTTTCTCAGTAATAAGTATTGATTTGTAAATAGGTAAGATTTTTGTCAAAGGAGTTGTAAAAGGTCAAAACTCTGGCCAATAGCTCAGTGCTAATAGGTTTTGAGGTAAGAAGTTCTATTACTTGTTATTTATTAAGTTTGTCTATATAATAATTTTGTACTACAATGCTTTAATATAAGTTAAGATATAAATAAAAATAATAGTTATGACATTTAGAATTAGTTAGAATATTGTGATTGCATAAACTGATTTTTTCATTTCTGTTGCAAGTTCATCAAGAAGAGTAGTTGGGATTTGTTTATTGAAAAATGCCTTATATTTGCTATTTTTATAGAATATAGATAGGTCTATTTCAGGTTGTTTTCAAATTTCATTTTCTTGTTTTGGAAAATCTTTAAAGAACTTTTTGAAAATATTATTTAGTAGTTGTAAGTATTTATATTGGTATTGAAGTTTTGGAATTGTATTAGGTAAGTTTGGATTTTCTGTTTCTTTTCCTTTATTTTAAGTTGCTATTTCTTCTAAATAAAAGCAATTTTCTTCTTTACAAGTAAGTATATAAAAGTTGGCTAGTTTTATAGTTTCGTTTCAATGTTCTTGTATATTATTAGTTTGCTGAAATTTTATTTCTATAGGTAGAGTTTCTTTAAAGTAAAGGATAAATTGCTATCAGATTTGGTATTTTAGAGAGTTAAAAACTTTGGTTTTATCTAATGATTAGATGAATTGTTGGTTATAAATTGAAAAGAATTATTTAAACTATTGTTTTAAATAGTCCAATGAATTAGCAAGTAATGGAATATTAAGTTTGTAAAGAAAAAGAGTTTTTGGAATATTAAAGTCAAGGTAAATATTAAATTTGTTATTAGATTGAATTATAAAGTATTGCTTGTTCTTGTTAAAGTCAATTACTTTTGATATAATATTAAATCTTTTAGATCATAGTTGAAGTTTTCAGCAAATTTAATGTAATCAATTTCTTGGTAATTGTTTGAGAGATATAAATGAATATAAGCAATATTAATACAAAGTTGGATTCAGTTTTGATTTGTATATGGGGGAATGTTAGCTAATGAAACAAAGATTTTAGAATAATTAAGTTTTGTAAATATGATTGTAGTAAAGGTAAGAATAAGTTTTTTAAGAGTTTCTTTCAATATGTCAAATAGGATAATAATAGTTTTGTCAATATTGGGATTTGTTTGTTAAATAAATTCAATAATATCAGAAAGTTTTACAAGTGTTGTTTATTGTCAAAAATAAATTAACCAATAGTAAAACATTAGTTAATACAATTATCATATATTAAATAATACAAAATTTAAAATTAGTTAATATTTACTATTAAATAACTTAAATTTTTATTTTATTATGATGTTTTATATTATTGTTTGTTAATAATATTTATATTTTTTAATACTAATTTATTGTTTAACAATATATATTATATTGTTTAATATAATTATTTAATATTTATAGTTAGTATACTCTTTTACAATAAATGTTGTTTAATTATTTCTGTAATTTAACAATATACATTATATTGTTTAATATAATTATTTAATACTTAGAGTTAGTATACTCATTTATAATAAATGTTGTTTAATTTTTTATGTAATTTAATACTATTTTATATTAGTTAGTATTATAAATTAATATAAGCATATATTAAAGTATTTTATTTGTGCAATATATAAAACAAATATTATTTTAAATAGTAGCTTCTTGTAAGTTAAAGTCTATTATTAGAAGAAATATATAATAACTTATTTAAATATACCTCTTTTGTATTAAGGTAGATATAATTATATTATTATATAAGATTTCTCTAAAAATTTACTTGACAAATTTTATTTAATAATCATAAAGTTAATAAATTTTTCACTTGGAAAATTAGCCAATATGCACTGTTTGATAAATTAGGCATGTCAAAATTTATCTTCACTTATCAATAATATAAAAAACTGCACTGATCTTTATAAATTCTTGTAGTAGGTGAATAGCTTTTTTATTTCTTGATCATATTATTAGATACATTACTTGTATTATAGAATAAATAAAATTATTTTTATATTTTTTATTTTTCTAATCGATGTTTTTATTCTCTAACAGAAAGTTCTTTATAAATTATACTATATAAATATATAGCAATCAGTTGAATCAATAATTTGATCGTAATTTCTAAATATAACTGCTCTTCAAAGATCAAATAACTTCTATTTAGATTAAATTTACATTATTTATTATAAATATTAAAATATATATATATTAACAAAATATTCATTTTCTCTTTCTTCATGTTTAATAATTTGCACTAACTCAATAATAGATTCTGCAGGTATAAGATCATAAGTATCTAAAAGCTTTATCAGTGGACAACCATATTTATATAAGTGATTGTTATTTTTGTATCGAAAGTCATACCATTGCACAAGCACAATATTAAATGATGTAGAGTAATTTTTAATAATAACAGTAATCAATATTAAAATCTAAAATAAATAAATATTATTAATATATAATAAAATTTTAAAATAACTAAAAAAAATATTATTAGCAAACCTTGCAAAAACAAGTTCCATTATCAGTTCTAAACTCTTCACTTTCATTTACACTAATTAATATATTACTAAATGATGGTTCATTATAATAATTGCTTGTTGCTCTAATATAATCTTCACTAGCTGCTCTATTAGTATAACTATACCATTTAATAATAGTATTACCTGTTATTATATCTTTAGTTAAATTCTTATACAAGTCAAAGAATTTATTTAATGATGAAAAAAAATATTCAAAAGCTAATAAAACCTCAGAAGCTAGTTTATTCTTTGATATATATAAAGAAAAAAAATCAACAACTGTTTTTAATAAAAATTCTTCTAGAAGTTCATTCATTAAAAGGTTTTTAGATATTCGTTCTGTAGATCATAAAACTTTTTTGTATTAAGATAGATAATTAAAAATCAAATTACGATATATCTATATATAAATATTATTATTAGCAAAATTTAACTATAAATAAAATTAAGATAAATAATAAGTATACTAACTGTTTGAATTATTTGTTTAGTAGCATTATGCTTATTACTAGCTCTATATAGCTTTTTTACAAAGTTCTTGTACAAAGTTTTATATGTTTCTGTTGTGAATCCATTAATAGCTCCAAATTCTTTAATTGCTTCAATAGTATGATAACACCAATTATGCAATTTACGTAGTCAAAATTCTGATAGAGAATAACTTTTAAAAAGTTTAACAAATAATTTTGCCTAACTTATAATTAAATCCTATAGTATAGTAAAATAATTTTAATTAATATTATTAATATACAATATTGCAACTATTAAATAAAAAAATTTATATTAAATATTAATAAATTTACCTTAAACTCTACAAGGTCTGATTCTAAAAAATATTCCTTTCAACTAAACAAATACATTTTGTTCTAGTGATAATAAACATTGATTAATTCAGAATTATATCATTTTGTAATATTTTTTTCAATTGAAATTTTATGATGTTTAATAATAATTCCTTCTATAACAAAGAGAAACACTTTTATCATATTGCAGAATTCATTAGCTGTAAAACATTTAATATTTCCAAGGCCTTTTTTAAACACTTTAAGTCCAGGAAACCTTGGCATTTTTGCTAAATATTGATCAAGCTCATCAATTGCTACATTTTTACAAAGATTATTTAGCATTTTTCTTGTATATTCTACTTGATATTTGAACAATCCTAAGTTCAAATGATGCATTTTGTCCAGAATTATAGCTATATAAATGTTTAATTGACTGATATTTTTTATAAATTATTATTAAATTACAGTATCATACAATGATTTCAGATGTCATAATTACAAAAAATAAATAAAATAAATAAAATCAAATAAAATAAATAATAAAATAAATTAATAAAATTTATTACAAAATATAAAACTTATATCAAATATAGATATAAATATATACTTACAGATATTTCTAAAATATATTTTTTATATTATATGGAATATTGTTTTGAAAGTCCTTGATGAATAATGTTTTGCATTGTTTCTGAGGTTCTTAAATTAATTTGATCTATATTTAACTTAATATTATTTATATTATTAAATAATACCAAGCATTTATAACATGGACATTTATAATTGAAAGCATTATATGTTAATGTTAGCAGTGAATGTTCTAGAAGATCACCTAAAAAGACTAAAACAAATGGGTAGCACTATAAATCACTATTATTTGTTTAAAGATCAAACCTATTGTCTTTATAGTTAAGCAGTAGCTTTAAAATTACATTCAAAGAATGTTAATATGCAGACCATTTTGCAAATAAAAAATTATTTGATTTTTTTTGAGTAGTTGTTTTTGATTTTAAGATTGGAAAATAAGCCAAAAGAGCTTTAGCATCAGGTTTGTTTCTGTACCAACTAAAAATATTGCCTAATGTTAAATATACTGAATGTTCATTTGATTTTTCTAGTTGGTCATATGTAGTAGCATCAGAATATAATATTATTGATAAAATGCTTGCATCATGAGGAATTGTTTCTTTTGCCCTTTCTCACTATTTTCTATTAAATTGTTTATAATATATCTATTGCTCTTAGTAGTACAATGGTGTAAACTCAAAGACACAATGATTAAGTATATCTTCATTGCTTAACAATTCTTTAATAGCATCAAAAATTGGATAGTAATTAAGATAGTATATTTCACCTTCATATTCTACTATAAGTACTTTCTTAAAAGAAATATGTTGCACCATAATTTTGTCTAAACACTGCTTTCTTTGTTGTATTGAGGTAGGTAAAATGATATTATTATGTACTATTTTTTTTGAAAAACAAAGATTTCACTCGTACATGAATCTGACAAATTCTATTTAATAACTAACTTCATAAAGTTATTGAATTCTTCACTTGAAAAATTTGGCATATCCTTACTATTTGCTTACCCAACATCAAAGGACTCAAAAACTAATAGTGACTTAATTTCAAACAATCGACACTCTACTATGTCCATCTATATACATACATATATATATAATTTTTGTAATTATTGAGTTATAATAAAACTTAAAACTCTTAAAAATATATATTAATATATATGTATGTACTATATATGTATAATATATGTACATACTATATACAGTACTTATGTACTTCTGGTTCACCTATCTCATCTATGGCATCTTCATTATTTATTTCATTTATCTCAATATCATCATTATTTGCTTCATTTATTTCATCTATTTCATTAGTTTCATTGTTTATTTCTTTACTATAACTAATTTTTAGCCTGTTTGTTTCTTCTATTTCATTTACTTTAATATTTTTATTTATTTCATAGTTCATTTCATTATCTTCATTATTTATTTCTTCACTATAACTAAATTCCAAACTATTTGTTATCTCATCTATTATATTGTTTTCTATTTCTGGTTCAATATCTTTGCTATTATTAAATGAAAACCCATTTATTTCATCTAGCTGATTATCATTCTATTGATTATTAATTTCATCTTTCTATTGAATAAATTGTTTCTTCTTTAATATGTTATTACTGTCTTTTGCTATAACAATTTCTTGAAGAAGGTCTCTAATTGTATTATTATAGATTTTTAAATGATTGTGCACAAAAGAATAATGATTAAAGTATCTATTACAGCCTAGTTTAGAACAATTGTACATTATATATTTATGCAATATTACAAGTTAACTAATATCTAATACATAATATAATTAAAATAATATGATTGGTTAATTTAATGAAAGTCTATCACTAAAATATCAGTTTAGCACTAGTATTAACTGTATTACAGTATTAACTTTAAAGTTATATTACACAGATCTCATTATGCTTTTAGATTTGTACTACTATTGAATGCATGTATATAAGAAAATTTTTAAAGATTTGAATTAGCTTATTCGACTTTCTTTTTTCTAACCATCCCAAAACTTGTAAAAACTTTAATACATAGTGTTATTCTTTATTACAGAACCATTTCATTTCAAAAAAATTTAATAATATACATTATACTAGTGAATAACAGATATCTCAGAAGTCTTGTTCACTGTGCTTATTGAAAAAAAACTTTTACCTGACTATATTGAATCTAATCTACACATTTGTGTCTAAATTAAATAGCCAAGCAACTTGAAGCAAAGGCACATGACATTCAACAAAAAATTCAACATGCAATGGTAATGAATTCAACAAAGTGGTGCAAAAGAAAAACTAGTCAACATTACTAAAAAATTATTTGAATTATTAAAAAGTAAGTGCAAACTCAAAATTTAAAAATTTGTTTATTATAAAGTTGACTTTTCCATTATATCAGTTATTCAAGAAAGATATATGATAATTTGTTAGACAATTATTTCAATCTATTGTTATTAACTATTAAAGTAAACTAGAGGTATGTAATACAAACCTACATTTTTAAGAGTTTAACTTCAATGATTAATACAACTAAATAAAAATTATATAGTAAAAATTATATACAATCTTAATTGCTTAAATCGAACTCTGTTATTTTTATATCTCTTGGCATCATTTAGCAAAGGTAGCTAACAATAACTATTACCATAGCCCAATATCCAAAAATATATTAATAATTCACCCATTAATAATATCTCTGCATAGTTACCTTACTGAGATAAGTCACATATCAATGCAAACTTTTCTATGCTTAATACCAAGCATCCACAAATTTATGCATTCTAGTATCATACTTTTATGCAAGTTAATTGCCAATAAAGAATACAACTATGAGAGATGAGACATTGAACTTAAAGGACAGATATATTCAATAAAAAACAGTTTTTATTCTGATCAATTTTAGCAATTCATGTTAGGATTTGTCAGTGCTATGAATATACAAGCATCAACAAATTAAAATATGGAATTCGCTATATGGGCAACATATACAGGAAATCTATCAAATCAATATTTGTAAGATGAATATAGTGATAAAAATCAAGGCAAGAATGTTAAGACTATATTAGTATATAGTCAGCTAGCATAACATAAATTTGTATATAATTTGAAATAGAAAAGTAGCTTTACACTATTGAGATTGTTAAGTATTTTACTATCCGTCAAGTTATTAGTTTAGAAAAAAAAAATTTATAAATAAAAATAAAATTGTAATTAATAAAAAATATTAATAAATTATTTATTTTAAATATTTTTAAAATTAAGGATTCAAAGTTCTAATAACATAATTGAATTGCATAAAATTATTGAGATATATTGATGTAAGGTAATAATTTATTAGAAATATTTTCTAGTTTTATAATTATATTGATATATTAACTCAGATAACTAACATACTTATAAAGCAATGATGATAATTAATTTTAGAATAATATATAAGTAAAGCATTTTTTGTTTTATGATCTTGTTAATTGTTACTATTGAATTATGAACAAAAGAAAAAATAAAAAAATTAGTCCATCTTTTAACCTTTTTTCTTTACAACAACCAAAATGATCATTGACTAGACAAGGTACAACAAATAATGAAAAAATATCAACAAATTCACTTCAAACTTCATTGCAATCGAAATCATCTGCTTCAACTACACTATTGACTAATTCTTTTCGAGTTTCATTGCAATCTAAATCACCTACTTTAAACACCTTAACTATGCTATTACAATCACCTATATCAGCAAAAGCAATTACATCATCTTAAACAGCACAATCAACTGCATCAACACAATTGACAAATTTAAACAACTTATTGCAGTCTATTTTTTTAACTAAAAAAAGAAAAGCTAATGCAGCAACTTCTAACCTTCTCATGACTACTACTAGCAATAAGTTTAGCAAACAATCATCTATAAGTTTTATAAGTTTTATTTTATTTTATTTTATTTTTTTTTAAAAAAAAATACTTAAAAATATAATGATTCTTTTATAATTTAGCCCCAAGTCATTATTGACTCTTCTCCTTCTGCTGTTCTTCATGATGAAAATCCAGGTTAATATGTTTATGTCGTTAATATGTATTTTATCTTTTAATATATTGATTAATAATGTATTATTTATTAGTGCTATTACCTGTTAATTTACAAACTTTGTCAAAGATTTTAAGCATCAAACAAAAAAGCTTTATCCAAATTGAACATATTACTAGAAGACAAGCTAAACTTGAATATCTTATTACTAAACAATGAAAGCAGCTTGAACAGGTTCTTGAAAAGTTAGATGATACTGAAGGAATGCAAAATCCTGCTATGAGCAAAAGAAAAGAGAAAAGAAAATAGAAGAAAATAGCGGATTATTTGTTTTAAGTAGTTGCTCTTTAACTCATTAATTAGATTTAATTTTTGTATTATTCATCTATATATTTATTACATGTACTATAGAAAGCAGTTAGAGAACTTTCATATAAATTATTTCATAATCATAAGGAAATAAGTAATGCCAAAATGAAAGTGTGACTCAAAAATAAGTTAGAAAACAATAAAGATTATGCAGAACACTTGCATTTTTTAGAAGAAAAAGGGTTTTTATTCGAAAGATTGTAGCATGAAATATTATATTCAGATGTCAGTATTTTTTAATAATATTACATGTAACATATATATATAATCTTTAATAATGTTACATATAATATATATATATTAACTTTGTTTATACATAGATGTTAGCAGCAAATTGTCTAAAAAAATAGTACTATGTTCATCACATTAAAAAAGGACTTTGGGCTATCTTTGGCATTAGTAGAATTAAATCATTCAATGAACACGATACAAAAGACCAAATGAAACAATGAAAACAGGATTCTAGAAAAGCTTATAAAGACTTATATAATCCAAATAATCCAACTAATCCAAATTCTAATACTTTTCTTGCTTCAATTGTATAGTGTGTTTTTGTTTTTGAAAATGAACAGACTCATATAAATGCTATCTGGATCTAAGCAATATTGAAAATTATCTTTGATGAACATTATTTTTTTGTCAAAATTGATTCTGAAGTTATTGATATTTGGTTCCAAAAGCTTTTAAATGAAAATAACATGATAATATATATTTATTATGTATAGTAACCAATAAATCAGTATTAGTTACTATACACCTAATACTAATTATTTTATTAATTGTTGTTTGGTTATTTTTTCTTTTATTTTCTTAAAATTTTTTTAATTTTTAGAATATGGAAATTACTTATAATGAATCTTATGAATCAAATAAAAATAATGATGATGAAAATAACAGGAATTTGTCTGAATCATATCATGTAAGCAACCAAAGCGATAGTATCGATGAAGATTATAACAATAATAATGACAATGATATTGAATAGAGGCAGAAAATAAGGATAATAAATAGCTATAGGAGGTTGTTTTACTTGAATAGTTATAGTTATATAACTTATTGTTTAATAAATTAGTTAATAGCATATTGTTAGTTTACTAGTTTATTAACATATTAGCTAATAAATTTGCAAGTTTT